GGGGCCAGGGAGTTGGAGTTTCAGGGCCAGCCTTAACAGTACGTGGCGATGGGCTGCAGTAAGGACTGTGCAGCCTCCCTGACTCTTTAAGACACCCAAAGTTTGCACTTCTCAAGGCATAGCTGTGACACACTTCCATCGTGCTGTGGTATACACCCTGTTTCGAAACTGTCTGATTGTTGGAACTAGGATAAAACTCTCTCGATAATCCCAGATCTGTGAAGACTGGAACATACTGTTTTCCTGTTGGTAGAGACAGGCATATCCTCCTTGCACCCTTACACAACTGGGTGATGTCTCCAAGCATAACTGCAGCATGTTGAAAAATATCATCCCACTGATTTTCTCAGTGGAAAGTTCATTTGTGAAATCCTAGTTTGGGAAACAGTCAAATGACTGGGGGTTTTGTAATTACATTTGTAATACTGGAGGCTTAATATAGATTCCTCAGATGGTTATTTTCTTCATCATTCAGTTTTAATCAGTGATAATGTGTGTGTCAAGCTTCTTCCATTCAACTAGAAAAAGTGGCTAAAACACAATCTGCTTTTTCAGGTAGCAGAGAATCCAAAGCATGGTCATCAAGTAGTCTGTAGATCATGGATTACAACACAAAGCTTACTCAGAGCATAGCATTCTATAACAATTAGTTTTTCTTTTTGAGCAACTCACTACTCCCTTCAAATAAGACGTAGTGAGGTAACAGCAGTGTTGCTAGTTCATGAAATATTATGACAAGTTTGATGGGATTTGGCAAGAGAGCAGTCGGCTGATGCCATTCTTCCATTACTGAAAAAAAACTCCTTAATTTTTACCAAAAAAAAGTTCCTCCAGAAAACGAAAACTTCATCCAGTCCAAGGGCCTGGGCTTGTTACCCAAAGGTACCAAAAAAAATCTTTGCTTGTGTGTGAGTGCATAGGAAAGTTCATTTCTAAGCCTGTCGCGTGATAGCTGCACGGTGCAGGGGGTTGTCTTTAATGCTATCTGTCTCACAGGGCAGAGGAGAAGCCAGCGCTATTTATAGCTCAGATTCGCTGTCAAATGCTATCTTTTGCAACAGCTTTATAAATGGTGTGGGACAGATTCTCCACTGGCACAAGGGAGCAGAAAAAGAGAAGTTGTGCCAATTCACGTTAGTCAAGAAAGCACCGTGAGGGTCAGACGGCGCTTCAGAAACACCGGGCAGCGCTTCGCTGAACCCCGGTGACACGTGTCTGGAAGCAGGATCATGGCTGGAGGTGGCATTTGATCCTGTGGCACGCCTCCAGGGAAGGCAAGCAGCCCCTACGCACCACCCCTCCTGCCAAGTCCTGTGCTCTGCGAGTAACTGGGGGTGGTGGAGCTCAGCAGAGGTGGTGAGAAACACTGGACGTGGAGAATGCACTTCATGGTGGCTAGACTCAGGAGTTAGGCTTCTTATCCCATAATGTTTATAAACTCATCCTAAAATTATCTCACAGTGGCTGTCCTCTTGTGCTCGGTGGAAAAATGCATTAGGAAAACGAAAGAAATACCATGACAGGAGTAGTACCTTGGTTTTTAAACCAGATAGTTTAAATAATACAGTAACATCCTCAAAAGCACTTCAGTTGCATAGGAACCTAAAGGCAGTTGTACATGTGGATGCAGATGGGGTTCAGAACCCCTGGATGACCATCTCAGGCTTTTTTTCTTCTCCCTCTAAACTACCATGAATAAGACTTGGAGCTCCAGCAGAAAGGAGAGTTAGTTAATGTAATTAGAAGAGCTGCGTGGGAGAGTAAGAGAAAATAACTCATTGAAAATAAAGTTGTGAAATGAGTCTTAGCCAAATGCATGGAAGATTTGAGGTCTGCTTTCCTGCTAGTCATGTCTTGAGTCAAATGAGAGAGAACCAATGGAAAATATTGTGGAAACCACATCCCGGTCTAGCCAGCGTCCTTGTGGTTCATCTGCTTAGTCACTCAGCTGCAGGAGACATCCATTAGCCACAGAAGGTCTCAAAGCAGAGTCTCTTACCGAACAACGTGCTTTGGTTCTTTAATGTGTTGTTTCTCTCTTACTCTCCTGTTGGGATTGGTTTCCTTCTGCCAATGGACTCTTCCTAGTCCCAAGTGTGGTTGGTTGCACATGCTCGTGGTAGTGTCTCGAAGCTGACACAGGCAGTACCGAGAGCCTAGTCTTTCCAGTTCACTCATTGTGAGCCCCTGGCAGTTTTGTGGTGGGGCAGGCCTAACAGCTTCCTCTAGAGCTGTTCTGCATTGCCATGGGAAGCTCTGGTACCATAAGCCCCTGGGGCTGGACCTACCGAACAAACGCAGAAGCTGTAGAAGCCCTCTGAAGAGCTGTGACAATGGTAGAGTGGAGCCAGCAGCTGCACCCCACTGCCAGTGTGCTGACTTTTGGTAGCTGCTTGCAGGGATTCAGGCTGGGAGATGCCATTGTCCCTCGGAGATGAACGTTTGAGTCACATTGAGCATGATTTACAGCGAGAGGAGCAATGTTTCTCTGGTACAGATAACCAGTGGTGCAGGTACCCACAAATGCACTTAATTAGCTTTTTTGCTTTTCCTAGCATACATGGATCCAATGTTCCTCTGCTTTCCTTTCCTACAGGAAAGGTACCAGAAGTGCTGCCTCTGTGGGCATCACTGTCATCTCTTCTGACCTGCTGGGCAGCATTCAGATCCTCCGAGGCTGAGCATAAGGCAGCAGAGTTTTGCCTTGCCTTCCATTGCCACAAATAAGAAAATTACCTTTTCTTTGAGGATTAAGCTGAGTTGATTCACAGAGGTGTAGCATTTGCAAATAATTAAAACTGGATTTTGGTACAAAAGAACGTAGTTTGCTGCTGTAGTTTTTGAAGCTTTTTCTCTCTTCCCGTTTACATTGGGACTGACAAATATCCATCCATAATCTCTTCAGAACAGTCAGGAATCAGTGCCTGGACTCGTTCCAATTGTACCTGTTATTTTCAACAGGGAGGTTTTCCCCATGTCATAGAGCATCATAAGAAAATAGGATCAGTTTTCCCTTTATTCATCTGGTCCATATTTTAGTTGCCTTTATCCACCATTCTGCATCCATCATTTGAAGGTACAGTGAATTACCTTTCTTTTTCTGTGTGCAGTAAGGCTTTTAAATGTGCAAGTAATTTAATCCATACCTGAAAACACTGGCAAAGAACCTGCAGGTTGACTTAAAAACATTATAAATGCTTCGATCGAGAATCTCATCTTCCATGAAGGTGAAATAATTCTTGCATTTAGGCAGTAAGGACTTTGAGCATACTGTCCATTTCACTCACTCAAAACCAGCAAAACAAACGCATACTTGGGCACAGTATCAGACCAGAATTTTAAAGTATTCTTGCTAGTGGAAATCACTCTTTATTGAAAGTATATTTAATTCTTCATTGTACCACCCAGTGTCTTTGAAACCACTGGATTTTATTATCCATGTTAGCTCACTTTTTCAGCATCTTTCTCAAAATCCATAAGAATTATTCATTTCTTTTGACATCAAAGAGCATTTTAAAGTAATTTAATTTGTCTTGCAGCTTGCACATTATTGTGTGTGTTTACAAGGGAAAATTCCTTCCTGGCTCCTTTATTCCAGGACCACTTCCCAGGGTTCAGAGCTTGAGTTGTCTCAAGGACCAGAAGAAAGAAGGAGGGTCTTGTGTTGCTTAGATGTGCCACGCTTTGCAAAGCTGAGGACCCTTGTCTGTTGGTGATTAGTGCTCAGCCCCTTACACCTTGTATCTGGTAAAGATGGGATTCCAGTAAATTATTAACTGTTGGTTACAGTGGCTTGGTTTGCACAACACTTGACGTTAAAACTGGCCCTTATTCCATCTGTGTGCTTTGGAGCAAGACCAGGAGCTAAATTTAGCTGGTCCTGGCTGGTGGGAGAGCATAGCTATCAGTCCTGCCTGCAGTGCTCACCATGACCCGTTCTCCTTATCAGTTTACAAAGAGGGGAGCTTCCTGGTGGTTTTCAGACTTTTTGAATGACACTGGACAGGTTTGCTCTGCTCTTCTCGTGATATTTAGACACAAGAGCAGCGCTGCCTCACTTCATAGGCTTTTTTTGGTTGTGGATAAATGCTGCTCAGTAGGGCAAGCAGCTACTCAGTTTAGCAAAAGAGCTACCAAAAAAAAAAAAAAAAAAAAAAAAAGAAGAGATTGTCTAAGTTCTTATCTGCTTTTTAGTATTTAAGCCTCTAAAATAACTGGATACCAGGTTCACATTTTTCTTCTAACTCTCATGTCTAGAAACCTGATGATTTTTAAACTAAACAGAGTCAGAAATCTCATTCCAGGCACTAGAGACTTCAGCCACCAATATTGGGTGACCTGCATTAGGAGTGGGAACTTCAGTGTTGCTGACTTGTTTTCTAGATAGCAGCAGCAGGGTAGCAAAAAGGGCTTACACCAGCTCTCTATCACCAGTGAGTCCTCTCTGATCCAGTCCAACTAGCTCTACAACTTGTTTGAAGAGGTCTAAATCAGTCACCTTCCAAGCTGCTTTCTGATCATATCTCCAAACAGATTGTCAGACTAGATCATATCCTTATCTTCTTGTCTGAGATGGTAATGTTTTTCATTTCCCCCTTTGACAAAAAGAGTCAATATAGTACATGAATTTTAAAGGTGCAGATCTCTTGAACTGGTAAATTTTAAGATAATTTCAGCGCAGTACTGAAAATACTAGATTTTGTCCTAAAGCAGACATAATGGTGTATTACTGACTCTGACATTTCAGGAAATGGTTTGTAAAAGAGAAATTCCTTTCAGCATTTGCTATAGTTATCAGTGATGATGTGACAATTGAAAAAGCAACATGATAAGAATCCCCTGCCGCAGCTTTTCCCAGCAAGAAGGGGTGCTGCCTATAGGATCAAGTCAGAACAATGCTGCACACACGATGAAGAAAACTCACACAGAAAATAAGAGACTTCTTTCAAGGCAACTGTCTGCATTTTTATCACTCGGGCGTTGTGTTTCTCTTTCTCCAGCAATGCAATCGGTCCCCTTGTTGCGCTCTGGCTTATCTATGAGCAAGGTGGTGTCATGCAAGAAGCGTCAACTCCTGTCTGGCTGCTGTTCTATGGAGGTGTTGGGATCTGTGTGGGTCTCTGGGTCTGGGGCAGAAGAGTTATCCAGACCATGGGTAAAGACCTCACTCCAATCACACCATCAAGGTAGGTGCACAGTTGTCATTACGGAACTTTGTGTGTGAAACAGTCTGAGAAATTGCTGCTCCAATATTTTGTTTGTAATGCAGTTCGCTGGATTTGCTGTGCTTTGATTTTAATGATAACGTGGCTTCAACTTCTCTGTCTTTCTAAACAATGAAAGCAAAAAAACGAAAAGGAGAAAAAGAAAGAATGAGAAAAAGAAGGAGAGAAAGGAAAAAAGATAACCCTGTTAACTAATACTGAATGCCTCTGAGGCATAGAGGTCTACGTGGTCTTCTGCTAACGACCTAATTAACGTGGTAGAAAGTGCATTTGGAAATGGCAAGATTACAGTGGCTTTCCCAGTGCGCTTCAGATTACTAAAACCACGTGCATTTATTACAGTAATTTATGTCCTTACTGCATACTCGACCTCTGCTGGTGCTTAACCAAATTACTAATTAGGCATGATTCCCTGCAGTGTAGAGTAGTAGAAGTCCCTGACACAATGAGCTGTGCAGCCGGGTTACTACAGATGACTAGCCTGTGTCGTTCCCATTATTCAGCCCTTCCTTGTTCTCTTAACTTATTCCTATGACAAAAATCAGTCGGAGATAAAAGAGTTGGAAGAAGAAACGGGTAAGACTTTGGCACGCTGCATGGTATCAGTCCGAGCTGATGCAAAGAGTGATTGTGAAGTGTTCTCTTATGCTTCCCGCAGTGGATTCACTATTGAGTTGGCTTCGGCGTTCACAGTTGTGGTAGCTTCCAATGTTGGACTTCCTGTCAGTACTACACACTGCAAGGTATGCCTTTGCCCAGTGACTGCAGTCAAGGCAGTCTGGACTGTTCGTCTTAAAATTGTGCCGCTCAAGCCAGCAGATAATGGCACGGCGAGGGGAAAACAGCTGCTCGTGGAGGGCGGTTGGGTGGAGGTGTGTCGGCACCTCTCAGTCGTGTCAGCGACACTGGGAAATAATCAGGCTTCCAAAAAATGCGGTGGAATTATTACAGCGAAGTCGCTGCAGTTGAGCACAGTGTGAACTCCACAGCTGTGGTTAAAGAAAAGCAGCGTTTACAAAAACACACCCCAGTTTTAAAGCAAGAACCTGGTTTCCTCCGACGGTGCCATTTGAACCTGGCCGGGTAGCGTTTCTCCCTTGTTCAGAGGCTGCGCACCACTCATCATGTATACTTCACTTTTTTGATAAGTGCATGGCATGGGATTTCCTGCATATAACTCTTTTACTACAGGTTTTCCATCTGTCTTTTTTTTATTTTTTTTTTTATTTCTTCACAGTGGATTTTGCATTGAAGTAATGTGTGCGCTAACGGTACTTGTAGCCTCAAATGTGGGTATTCCAATAAGCTCCACCCATTGCAAGGTATTGGAGTTTGCAGTGATCACGTCAGTAAATCACATCACTAGGACAAACCATAACAAAATAGGAGAGATACCAATGGCTACAGATTGCCTTCACTATGCGATGCGCTGTGCGGACAGCAGTCACAAAATAACAAGGACTGCTTTTAAAGCCAGAATGGTTAAGCAGAGCGAGTGTTAGAAGTCATTGCACAAAAGTCTGGAACCTCTTTCTCCTGTACATGATCGTATTAAACTAATATAGACATAGTCAAATAATGTAGACTTGTAGTTTGTGTGATCCCAGTTACGTGTTTTTTAGAGCCATCCGTATGAAAAACATTGCTACATCATTCAGCTAATATTTTAATGTCTATCTTCTTTTAAACTGACTCGTCCTCACTTTTGTGCATTAGAATAGACAATCTGGCCCTTGTAATTAGTTCTTTGAACAAGGTTGTCAGCTTTTTTTTTTAAAAAAAACAAAACAGTTTGAGGTATAGATATAGTCTGGGTAATGAGCAGAATTGTTATTGTTTCATATGATAGTCTGTGTGAGGAGACATTTATATTGCTTGTAGGCAACAGGGAGCATGTGGACATTTACACTGCTGGAAGAACATAGTGGGAATTTGGAATTTTGTTCCCCAGGAAATTCCTGAGTCAAATGGCCCATCTTTCCTTCTTTTGCTTCCCCGTGGGATCCCAGGCTCTTGGGCACGCAAGTCTGTCTGTGTGCCTGACCTTCTGACAGGCCATGGGGAAGCCCCTCCAAAATCAAAGAGCCCAGAGTGGCAAAGCCCCTCTGCTTTGGGAGATACCACCAAGACCTACAAGAGCCAGATCCTGTAGGATTTGCTCCTGCACCCTGGGGATCTTGGAGCCCTTCCAGCTCTGGCTGGGGATGGAGCAGGCAGGGTTTTGGGTCTGACTACTCCACACAGCACAGCAGGTGGGCTGGCAAGAAGCCGGGCATCCTTGCCTGTGACATTGACCTGGTTTCCAGTGAAAGAGTCAATGAAATCCACACATCCTGCAAAATGACCCAAGTTGGTTCAATTGGCCTTTTTCTAGTGAAAACCATTTCTTCAGAAAGCCTTCCTCTCTTGCAAAATCCTTTCTTTCTTCTGCTGCAGAGCTCTTTCAGAAGCAGCCAAGACTGAGCTGCTCTGAAAGGCTGCTCAGATTTCCTGGTGTTGGCCGAACTCTGGTTCCTCAGAATCAAGCAGGGAGGGGAGAAATAATAACAACATGATCCAGTTCTGAAAATGCTAGCTTGAAACCACCTCCCTTTAAGCTGATATATCAAACATGTGATGAAGAGTTTGCCAGGGAGAATAATACAGCTTTGATTATCCCAGTTGCGTGCATGAAGCACTTCTAGACAAATGTGGTAGAAGAGGAACTACACTTTGGAGCAGACAAATAGACTGAATTAAAAAAAAAAAATAGATTTTTTAAGCCATAAACTAATGAGAGGGCAGCATTAGGAGGTATTCATTGACTCAATGCAGTTAGAGGACCTCAGTCTTTTCTAACTGCAGAGCAAAATAATTCCTTTCAAAAAATACTTCCATAAAAGCAGTTAATGTTGTTAGTCTGTGTCTGCTCCCCGTAGTATGCTGTATCTCGTTAGATAGATCATTTGTAATGGGAAGATACTCTTTGCAATAGGACTAGACTGTTCCAGGATGTCACATTATAAATGACTCCATACTTTCAGCAAGATGAGATCCTAAGTTGAAAGATCCTAAGTAATCAACACAAGACAAAGTAGACACTTGTAACAGATGTATTCCTCATTTTCTTCGAGAGCCTGGTGAAGGGATAAAAGAACTATCACATATCATTTAGTCCATGGGAAAATGCCTCCCTGCAAGTGCTCTCAGCTGTTGAGACAGCAGTACCTTAAAAATCAACAGAAAAAATATTTTGCCTTAGAAATTCAAAAGAAAATGTGTCCAAGGTAAGCCTAGTGCTAAGCCTCCAGCATCAGGGAGGGGGAATCGTTCTATTCCCCAACATTTGCTTCATAGCAAAACAGCATTTGCTAAAGTGGGAGCCCTGCAGAAGGGATGTCAGTCAACTGAACGTGTAGCAACTACATAAACCAATGGCAAAGAAGGAGCAGTGTGAAACACCTGAGGTGGAGGGAGACCCTTTTGAGGTGAAACAATAGACTGTAATGAAAAACAAAGACCATGTATGAAGGAAAGCTCTGAGCAGCAGTTTTTGGGTCTTGGAGCAGTTGTAGATGTAGAGCTGGAGATTGGTAGCGGGAAGGAAAGCATTAGCTTCTGAGAAAGATTCATCAAGCCCTCTCAGATCAGAAGTTGCATTTGGTCCTGAATCAGAGGCTTTGGTCTACATCAGGTAGCTACCACCCAACAGTAGGCCTGTCCTAAATCTACAGCCCAGCAGCTTTTCCATGCTCGGTGCCTGCTGAGAGCCTGAACTGCACTTTCGTCCTTGCCATGAGTTTTTCTCTGCAAAAGCAATTTTGCCGAGGTCATACTGTCACCTCCATTTTGCCATTATGATTTTGGGGTTTTGAAAAATACTGTCTGTGTTGCTATGATGGAATTTTCATGTTCAGTGTGTTATTATGATATGCCATTGCACAGGAACAAGAGAGCCAAAAGCAGTTCTGTAATGCTTTAAGCAGAGCATACTGAAGGCAAACTGCACTGGTTTCAAACCGATCTCAAAGTAGATACCATCCCAAATTCTGCAGACGGTGTAGTGTCCCTACACCAAAGTTTTAGCTACTCTCCTAACCTCTAGTCCATCAGAATCACTATTAATAAACTAAACTTTAATAATATTTAAAACAGATTACCAATGCCATCATTGCTGATACCTTTTAAATTCCAGGAAGGACTTGGAGATTATCGTACGTAGAGCGCAGGCTTCTTGCTGCAAGCATGACAGATGGATGCTAAAGACATGCAAAATGCAAAGCAGAGCCTAACAGCTGAGCTGCTGAAAAATCAGATGCTGTTTCCTCGAGCCAGTGCTTTGATGTAGTCAGAAGTGTGGGGTTCCTCTTAGCTGGCCACCTCCTAAATACACTTACACCTCCTAAACACAGAATATCCTGTTGTCCACTTAAGGAGTATTCAGATTAAATATTATCTAACAGATAATTCCTTGTTGGATCAAGCTTTCGACTGAGGCCTTTTCAGTCCTAGAATACCAAGTTTAGTTTTCCCTTGTTCTATCACAGGCACTTTTGAGAGTCTTACTTCCCTAGAGTTACAGTCTTCCACAAGTAATTCTTTTCTCCTGAAAGAAATGTTAAGCAAATTTAGAAGTTAGATAGATGTTAACAGAAAATGCAGATTCACCATCCCCATCCTATGTCTCCCTGGTTCTCTGTCCTCCCAGCATTTTTCATCCTCCTGGCTCTGCACATGGGGAGCAGCCCATCTTCTAACCTGTGGGCAAGGACTGATGACTCCCATTAAGAAAACAAGCAGGGAAGGTGAGGCAGGGATGGCATTTCAGGGAGCACAAGCCCAGTTGTGTTTTGGAGTTTCCTTTCCTTCTAAACAGGATGTTCCTTCCACATTTCTTGCTGCTTTACCATGTGCTTTGAATAGATTTGCACGGATTTACACGTTTTTGTTAACGGCATGGAGAGCCACTTCCAGGGCAGAAAGAAAATGCAGAATTTCTGAAATTTTTGTATCATTTTTCACTGGAAATGTTTTTCTCAATCCAGTTCTTAAAAAAATAATATGCTGGGTTTATACTCAAACTTATTAACTGAAAATAGATTTGAAGAAAGAGAAGGCTGTAGCTTTGCCCATGCTGCAGTGTGTTTTGTTTTCAGAAACGCTGACTTCCCCAGCTGCCCTGGTCGCAGTGCCTTCAAAGGATATTTTGGAGATTTATCCATTCCCCACCTGAAGCCAGATCTCTTGATGGCCGTGCAGTTTGTGTGCCACATAGCACCAGGCTGATGTCTTTGACTTCAGGGAGGATTTTATCTCTTTAGCTCTGGATGCTTTGCTTGGCTGGCTGGTCCAGAAGGGCTGGTTTTCCTTGGAGGGCTTGGAGTGATGAGTTTGATGTAGGGTAGCTGCACTGGGTCTAACCTTGTCCTGTCTGTCTGTCCCTGCCAAGTTAACATCACTGTTAGAGGATGGGCTCAGCTGCCTATGTTGCCATTGCTGTCCTGTTTATAGCCCACAGCACTGAAGTAGGTGGGTGCTGTTTGGAGTCAGCTCCATATGCCAGGCTGTAAGCTCCAGAGGTCCAGCAGCTGCTGGGTGAACAGGCAGGACATGCCAAACTAGCAAGAGGACAGGCATGTGGGACAGGAACTGTACAAGCTATCCCAACCCCATCCACACCCCCTGGCAGAGCCTTAAAAACAGCTTTCTCAGTGTTTTCATTATTTAGACTGCAGTCTGGGCAGGCTCAGTGGACGCTTGCCTGCTCGCCTACAGACCAAGTCAGGTGCTGGGCAGGTGGAGGTCATGGCTGATCCAGGAGCTAGCTAGAGAAAAACCCGTGAGCATATTTATTCTCCTTTGACTGACCCCAAGACCCATGAAAAACAGGAGATCGATGAAGAATAAAGGTTAAAGCACCCTGGAACTGTTGCCCTCCTGCCACCCCACCAGAACAGAGACATCATCCTCATCCTCGTCAGGGGCTCCTTTATCTCAGAGCATCACTTGGTATCAGCTGACTGGCATTGGTGTGGCCGTGGGCGCGTTGGGGCGCTTGGACGTGCCCCTCATATCTTGTCTCCCTCTCTTCCCCACGCTCCCAAGGTCGGCTCCGTGGTGGCCGTCGGCTGGATCCGCTCCAAGAAGGCCGTGGACTGGCGCCTCTTCCGCAACATCTTCCTGGCCTGGTTTGTGACTGTGCCGGTGGCCGGCTTGTTCAGCGCCGGGGTGATGGCCCTGCTGACCTACGGGATCCTGCCTTACATCTGAAGGGCCTCCTCTGCTGGGGAAGGGGGAGGCGGCCGCCAGGCTGCCGAGGGGAGAAGCGTTCCCGTGAAAGAACCGGTCGGAGAGGATCCATCTTCCATAGCTAACTTCTTATCTACTGTACATAACAATGTGTCATATTGGTGACATGGTGATGTGGTGCCATTTCTTATATATTAAAGAAATATATATGCATATAGTAGGTAACAATACCTAAGTTATATTATCAGTGGGGTGAAAAATAATTGCCTAGAATTTAATATTTAGTAAAATTTGTACATAGTGTATCATTTTGGTGGCAATTTTTTAATCTTTCGAAGAAGAGTATGGATTAGGAAATGTTTCTTGTCCATTTGATATAAGAAGAAGCGAGGTACAGGACTGCATAACGTGATTTTTTTTAAAGCTATTAAGATACTGGAACAAAATAAATGTGCAGAAGTGCTTTTCATAAAATAACTTTGTTCATATCACATTGACCTTTGTGTATCATAGCGTGATGGTTATGGCTGTGTAAATACTTACAACAGTAACTTTTAAATGGTGCATTTCCCTTATATATTTTGGATAAGAAAGTTTAGGAAGTACCAAAGACGCAGGGGAATAGCGTGCCAATATTATGTTGTTGTCTACACGTGTGGGCGTGTGTTGTGTTTCCCCACCTCTACTTCAGCATTGTTTTCACCGAGCTCCCCCCAGCGAGGCTGGGATAGTACTGTTCGTGTCTTAATGTAACTTAAGAAAAAGAGCAAAGAAGCACACAATAATTTAGCTCTCCTTACTTAGTAGGCAGACCACGGTTCTCCGTATTAGCTGGTAGATAACCGACTTCATTGTGTGGGTTGAAGTATTTCACTGCTCACCTTCTACCTTTCCCCTTCAAGTCTCAGCTCCCAGTTGCCCTGCTACCAGTTCCAGTGGGAGAATGGACCATCAGTCTCTCCTTTTTCTGTCCATCCAGCCACTCTCTCAGGTACAGGAGGGGGACCTTGGAGTGCACGGCACCCCCACGCACAGAAGCGAAGGGCAGCAGCGTGTGGGAAACGGGCTTAGCCCTGGTTTTGTGGTTGAAAGTGTGGGTGCCTGTGGGAGTGCTGACTTGTGCAGAGGCTGGCATAGGGAGCACAGCCAGGATGGGAGCAGATGCTGGGTCCCCCCTGGTGAGTCTCATCCCATCCACACCCTGCAAGCCTCCCACCATGCTGCCGAGTGCAAGGAGAGGTTGGGAACCTGGCCCTGCATGGATGGAGGTTGTGTGGTAAACAGCATTTGGGATGAGACTTTTTCATGGCAGCTCACGGGGGGAATTTACGGCTCTAAGTTGCACCAGGGGAAGCTTAGGTTGGGTATTAGGAAAAAATTATTCACTGAAAGGGTTGTAAAGCACTGGAAGAGGCTGCCCAGGGAAGTGGTTGAATCACCATCCCTGGATGTGTTTGAAAGTTGTGTAGGTGTGGTGCTTAGGGACATGGTTTAGCAGTGGACTTGGTAGAGTTGGGTTAACGGTTGGAATTGATCTTAAAGGTCTTTTCCAACCCAAACGATTCTGTGAAGTGGCTGGCTAAGTCCCCTACATGGCTTTGGAAAGCACATCTAAGTGAAGGTTACTGTTTTGTAAGTGGGAGGCAAAGGGCAAGGGGTGTCCTGAGGAGGTTGGGAATCTGTTACTGTTTAAATGCTGCTAAAATTTTGATAAAATGTTCTTGGTACTCCATTGTGACTTTTCCATTGGTCATTCATACTAAATTTATAATAAAAAGATAAACAGCCCCTACCACTGTTTGCCTCTTGGGTTTTTCGAGTGTTACTCAGCCATGCCAGCTGTAATGGGGAGGCTCCACGGGAGCTAAAACCTACTCCTTGGCATCTGATGTCTTCTGTTCTTGGCCTGCTGGAGGCAGTGGGGAGGACACCACGCTCTGTGCAGCGCTGACCAAACCTCCCTTTGCTTCCTGCCATCCCGGCAGCCCCGGCACCCAGCCCTCGCTCTGCCTGGGGCGTGGCTCACAGCTTTGGGGGGTGGTGGCTGCTTTGGGTGCATTCACCAGGCACCTGCTGGCTCTGACTGCCCCCCTAGCTCTCCTTTCTGGGGCTCTGTAAGCATCCCCATCTTGGTGCCACCATGGCACTTGGTTTCCAAGCCCTCTGAAACCTTAGAGCCATGGTATATATAGTGCTGGCAAATGGGGGGGGGCTGATGAGCAGCGGGTGGGGAACCAGAGCAGCCAGTAAGTGCACAAAGACAAATTGGGAGCTGTGGATAAGGGTGGAAGGACTCAGCCTATCTTAGCACTTGCATAAACTAATGCCTGCCCAGTGGCTCAGCTGCTTTCCACCTTGTTTTATCTACAGAGACAAACCAGACTTCTCTTACTCTACCCGCAGGGACCGAGCTGCAGCCCTGCCAGGCACAGGCAGCGTGTGGAGGTCTGTGCCAGCTCCCAGGGGGATGTGATAATCCCCCAGCACACACAGCTGGGCATCTGTCAACACACACATTTATTAATAAAACTGTTACGAGAGAAATGGCCAGCAAGGAAGCATCTCCAAAATATCCCCGCTCCAAATAGAATAACCTTTAATCTAGAAGGAGATGGAGAACCCCAAGTGACTTTCTCCATGCCACAGAGGTGTCCTTTGCCACCCAGGGGGGCAGAATCGCCACAGGGGAAGCACAGCTGGTGAAATGCCCTGCAAATAGAGCACACTTACAACGTCCTTCACTCAGGCAGCAATCAAAATAGGTACAGGTCTATTTTCAGAGCAAGAAACGGTGGGGCTTTTGCATTTCTCCAGCAGCGTGGGTGCTCAGTTGGCCCTGAGAGACCAGCCTCATTTAGCCAAGACCCATTTAGCAAGCAGATGCTGATGGACCTTGACAGATGCAAGGGATGCTCTGCACCCCACAGGGCTGTCCCATCCCCTGAACTTAGTGCTATGGCAGAGGTTTTCCTGCTGCAGTTCAGGGCCATCAGGGCTACAGTGCTGGGCAGGCACAGGACATCATGGTCTCCAGCAGGCAGACCATGCTGCATGCTGGGGAGGGGTGCATGCAGGATGGACACACCTTTCAGGAAAGGTGAGGGCATGAGGGCAAGAACCGAGTGAGGAGATAAGGAAGACAGAAGCCTGATGAAAATATTTATTACAAGGAAAAACTCTTCTAACTGAGGAAATGCAGTCTGAATTTCAGAAACCAAAATGTCTACTGTGGCTCACGCAGCAGTGAAAAGTCCTTGACCCAAGCTAGCCTGAGAAGGACAGCCAGCTGGCTGGGTGTGAAGGTGCTAATAGACTCTAATTTCTCTCATCAACTTTTCCTGGTGCTTCCAACCTCTATCCTACTTTCTTGTCAGATCTCCTAGCTTGCTCTGGGACTTTCTTCATCCTTGCATGTTTATATGATGGTCACTGGCCTGTTGCTGGTGCTTGTTATTGTCACCAACTCTGCTCTGCTCGTACTGCTTTGCACTCTCAAAATTGCTGTGGTAACCTGTGCCTCCTGGTTTGTCCTCCTCAGTGGAGCAGCCCTGTTGTTCCAGCACCCTGCTGCCAGCCTCCTGCCTCCCAGGTAAGTGCCCTGGGCACTGGTGACTGGTTCGACTGGCTGAGCACCCCTTGGGGTGGGGGCTTGCCCAGGCACTAAGACTTGTGCTGGTGTTGGTAACTTCATGCTCCTTGCAGAGGACTTTGTGGCCAGAGAGCCCAGAAAACGCAGCTGGGGAACGTGTGGGGCAGAGGGACATGAGGGCACGGGACCTTTAGTTTGCCTGCAGCAGCAGAGAGCCTTGGGTTGCCTTGTGAGGGCTCCTAGCCCAACCTGAGGGACCTGGGTGCCCCTGGACTGCAAGGTGGCAGAGCAGGGGCTTTAAGAGAAGCCACTGACACTAAAAAAGACTTGGACAGATATATTTGGGGGGGAACAGATAACTGTTTGAGAGTCTTGTGCAGTTTGTGGTGCTACTTCTCTAGGAAAGGCAACTAATGGAAAAAGGGGTTTTGGAAAGGTTTAAGCCCCTCTGGTTTTGTGCTCTTCCTCTTCTTGAGCTTATTTTGGCGACACAGAGGTGTCCTGATGGATCTGGTGGAGCATTGATTCCATCTCCTGGCTGCCAAAAGAAAATCTGAATTGGAGTAAGATTTTAGTGCCACTGTGAAGCTTTGTAAGCCTCCTTCTTCTAAGCAGTAACACAGAGCAGAAAGGAGCTATAAAAAACAAAGACATAAACTGTGCTTTTCCCAGGTGAAGTTGTGCAAATAATTAAATATCACACACTCGGCTTAATTTCTGGTATTTTAGATCCTAGGAGAAAAATTGATTTCTGTTGCGCTGAATTAAATAACATTTTCATACTGATTGACACAAGCAGGCTTTGCTTCTACTTGTTGTGTGAAAGTAACCATTATCTGACTTTAGTTCTTGAAATCGGGATGTTGAACTTTTGCTGTGATGCTATTTTAGGGCCGTATTGATGAACAAACACTTTGTGTGGGGCTAACACTGGTCTGAAAGATCTTATGTGCCTATTACATCACTTATTCAACTAATTGCAGTTTTCAGAAGGGCATTATTTTTCCTAAGTGGAACAGTATATTTAACTTGTACCAATATGCTGTGCTGTTACCATCTTCCAGGTACAGAAGTTTTTTGTGTGGGGGGGTGAATGCAAGGAACAAAAGCTTGTTTCTTTCTTTAACTGAAATTAGCTTTTAAAACCAGGTTGGTGCTTGAAAACCAAACACAAACGCATTTGAGTTGCTTGGCTTTTTGCATCTCCCCCAGCTGACACCAAACAGCCAGCTTCAGGAAGATGAGCCTTAAATCACAACTTCTCGTCTGATAAACCCTAAATTCAAGGATATGACATCAGCTACTGCTTGGCAATGGTACCACAGTGCAAATATTTAGTGTAGATCATTATTCATGGCTGTGCTTCAGAGGGAGGAGAAGGAGTGGTAGGTGTCCAGCTCTCCATGGCCAGGTTGCAGTCAGCTCCTGGATGGGATCATCCTGCACAGCAGCACGGCACATCCCAGTTCCTCTGCTGTGAGTGGCTCGTGCAGCTACAGAATTTGAGATGCTGCTTAAGAAGAGGATCCTTGTTTCTCATCTCTCATTGTAAGGTTTTCAGCCTTTAAAAGCCATCTCCACCAACAGTCCATATCCCTCCTCCAGCACAGAGGGAGAGGATGCTTGCATCTGCAGGTGATGTTGCCAGTGTCGGGGAAAGACGGGGAGGATGTAGTATGCTGCTCTTAAGTGAACCAGGAAGCTGGTCCTAACTAAGCAGAAAAGCACTAAAGCATTTTTGGATGATACTAAAACTGCTTTCCTGCTATGAGAGAATTTAACCTTCATCTATTATTTCCCCTAAAGCAAAAAAGATGATAGTCTGAAAATCTTATCTTGCTAACCTGATGTACTTTGTAATGGATGATCTCGTAAGACTATTCTGAGAATCAGTCCTCTGGAAAGCAGGCACACCTGGAACTGCCCAAGGTTTCTGGTCTGAATAATTTTCTGCATGCCTGACTCCTTCCACTCACTTGTATTTCTCATGGATTCCTGGTGATCTCTGTAATGGAAATTGCATGTGGCATGTCTTTCACACTCATGGGCTTATCGAGG